GGGGGCTGTTATTTTGACAGGCAGAAATCTGCACATACCATGCAAGAGATGAGCAGACCTGAGACAAATTTGCTTCAGATAAAGTAAACCAAATGAGAGGAAAAGAATAAAATAATATTAACATAAGCATTCACTCTTTGGATTTGGCAAGTAGAACTTCCTTTTTTTTCTTGAAGCTACATTAAAAACAGCTTTTTCTTTAGAAACTCCCTCCAAAATCATTTGATACCTGTATTTTAATTGGGTAGGAAATACTCTGATGTCGTGTGTAGATTTACATACATCTTTCTCATACACCGTGTCAGATTGTGTCATGTTAAAATTTCCAAGTTATGGCGAATTTAATCACACAGTCCACGGCTTGCTGCCTCTGTGGTTCTTGTAACCAGTAATGAGATATTCACTCTACAGCCTAAAAAATTAAACAGCTAAACAGCTTTTTAGCAGCTACGGATGAGTGGCATATGAAACCATGTCTTGAATGCGATCTTTGTGAGCCTTTTATTTTCTGTTAGCAATAGCAACTTGCTTTCTCTACTGGGCCAGTTAATTGTAGAAGATGTGAGCCAGTATTATGTTCATATTCTCTTTCTCCCCTCCTCCATCATTTTTCATAGAAACAACACCAAAAATATATACACTCTATTTTTGTCTATATTTCTGCTTTACAAATGAGTCTTCACCACAGAGGAGTTAGAATTGTATGAAAGGGGAAGATTAATGAAAGCAGGAGGAAGCTGCTGCAGGTAAATACTTAAAATTAATAAACTTGGATTCTAAAATGATTCCTAAGTGAGAAGGAAGATAATAACTAACATTTATTGAGTCAAACACTATTCAAAACACTTTGTGTCATTATTTTACTTACTCTACATAGCAATCCTGTGCAGTGATTTCTCTAATTATTCCCAGGAAACCAAGGCACAGAGAAGGTAACCACAATGTGTAAAACCCTATGCTAAAAGCCATCAGGGGAAAAAATAAAATAAGATAAAATAAAAGTCAGCAAGGGGCATAAAAATATCAACCCAAAGGCCCAAGGTCTAGAAGGGAAGGTAGCAGTTGTAATAACATGTATTGGTTGTGTGAGTGAGTGCTAGGCACTGTGCTATGCATTATTTTAATTTGTCTTCTGGAAGTTCAAAGATATAGTTATTGTGATTTCTGTTTTCTAGCTGAAGAATTGGGACTTAAATAGGTTAAGTAAATCCTGCAAAGTCAGGCAAATACTGTGCATAAGAGTGAGGATTAAATTCCAGTCTGCATAAACATTTTAACAATGTTTATTCTTCTGATTCATGAGCATGGAATGTTTTTCCATCTTCTTGTGTCTTCTTCAATTTCTTTCATGAGTGTTCTGTAGTTCCTAGAGTATAGATCCTTTACCTCTTTGGTTAGCTTTATTCCAAGGTATCTTATGGCTTTTGGTGCTATTGTAAATGAAATTGATTCTCTAATTTCTCTTTCTACAGTTCCATTGTTAGTGTATAAGAAAGCAACTGATTTCTGTGCATTGATTTTGTATCTTGCCACATTACTGAATTGCTGGGTGAGTTCTAGTAAGTTGGGGGTGGAGTCTTTTGGGTTTTCCACATAAACTATCATGTCATCTGTGAAGAGAGAGAGTTTGACTTCTTCTTTGCCAATTTGAATACCTTTTATTTCTTTTTGTTGTCTGATTGCTGTTGCTAGGACTTCAAGTACTATGTTGAACAACAGTGGCGAGAATGTTGCTCAGAGCAATCTACACTTTCAACGCCATCCCGATCAAAATACCAAAGCCATTTTTCAAAGTGTTGGAACAAACAATCTTAAAATTTGTATGGAATCAGAAAAGACCCCGAATCACCATGGAAATGTTGAAAAAGAAAAACAAAGCTGGGGGCATCACGTTGCCTGATTTCAAGCTATATTACAAAGCTGTCATCATCAAGACAGCATGGTACTGGCACAAAAACAGACATATAGACCAATGGAACAGAATAGAGAACCCAGATATGGACCCTCAACTCTATGGTCAAATAATCTTCAACAAAGGAGGAAAAAATATGCAATGGAGAAAAGATAGTCTCTTCAATAAATGGTGCTGGGAAAATTGGACAGCTATATACGAAAGGATGAAACTTGACCATTCTTTTACACCATACACAAAGATAAACTCAAAATGGATGAAAGACCTCAATGTGAGACAGGAATCCATCAAAATCCTAGAGGAGAACATAGGCAGTAACCTCTCTAACATTGGCCACAGCAACCTCTTTAAAGATACATCTCCAAAGGCAAGGGAAACAAAAGCAAAAACGAACTTTTGAGACTTCTTCAAGCTAAAAAGCTTCTGCACAGCAAAGCAAACAAAGAGGCAACCCATGGAATGGGAGAAGATATTTGCAAATGACACTACAGATAAAAGGCTGGTATCC